TACACATTTTCAAAATTGGTTGTATTAAGTTGTATGTTATGTAGTATAGTAAAAATAAAGCAAAGTATGTTCTATGTATGTGTAAATGGTTTCGTATGAAGGACAAAATCGTAAATTTTGTTAGGTTAGTTGTTAGTTTCTTTATTATATTTATTACATGGCTATTACACTAATTATAATTTAAAATTTTGCTATTTGACAAATTAACCCTAATATTTAAACAAAAAAAAAACTATTAAGTAATCAAGTATTGACAACAAAGATAACAGTAACCAAACCCTGAAAGTGATGATGGTCCTATAAAAAAATAAAAATAATTATTTTATTTTTGGTCAAGAGAGGAACAAAGAATGAAGATTTTTTTTTTCAACAAACTTACTTCATTCATTTAACCGAGCAAAGTATAAAGCGAGGGAATTAAGCATTCTCCATAATTACTACAACATAATTGAAATGCAATAAAACATAAAGCAGATAGATCATCGTAGAAGATGGACAGCGGATCCAAGGCATGCTTCGAATGCGTCAAGAGGGTCTTCGCGGCAGAGTCGGAGAGTCTAAAGTTGGCCACTTTCCAATATAACTTTGAAGATCTTGGCCTAAACCTCGGGAATTCGACCACTCTCTAAGAGAATGAAGAGAGTACGACCATACTCAAAGAGCTGGAAGAAGGTGGAATTAAACTCTCCCACCGGGAATAAATTATAGGATTTGAGAATCCAGAAAACTTCGATATCACCATATTTAGCGATGAAAATCTCATGTGGTTATCGAAATTCAAATCCGGAGGAACTCAACTAAGATGGACATAGCAATCTGAGATCTCGGGGAGGAAGTGAGTGTAGCCGGAGTTGAGCCCGGAGGGGCGAGGGAGCGGTGAGTAGCCAGTGGCGGCGGTAACACAGTACCATTTGGTGGAGAAAATATGTGGAACAAAGATGAAAAGATATTCGGTTTCTCACCGAGAAGAGCTCCGAGCCAAAGAAGAAAGAACCATCGATGATGAGTTTTGCAGGCCTACGTCGCCAGATATGGGGAAGAGTAGAGGCTTCAGTCATCATTGTTGTGGCTGCTTTTTTCATGTGGTGGTCGGAGAAAGGTACGAGCAAAGTAACCAAGACGAAACAAGCCATAACACACGAACAAAGATAGGGATAGCAAGCATAATGGAAACAGTCTGACGCTGGTGAGCGACGGCTTCACC